CGGCCTGCCTTTACACGCACATGACCTTTAATGGCATCCCAGTCTTAGTCCGTAGGGTTCAATATTGAGTTGGCCCACCCTTTGCAGCTTCAACTCTTTTGGGAAGGCTGTCCACAAGGTTTAGGATGGTGTCTATGGGAAGGTTTGACCATTCTTCCAGAAGCGCATTTGTGAGGTCAGGATCTGATGTCGGACGAGAGGCTTGGCTCACAGTCTCCGCTCTAATTCATCCCAAAGGTGTTCTATTGGGTTGAGGTCAGGACTCTGTGCAGGCCAGCCAAGTTCCTCCATGTCTTTATGGACCTTTCTTTGTGCACTGGTGTGCAGTCATGTTGGAACAGGAAGGGACCATCCCTGAACTGTTCCCACAAAGTTGGGAGAATTAAATTGTCCAAAATGTCTTGGTATGCTGACGCCTTAAGAGTTCCCTTCACTGGAACTAAGGGGCCAAGTCCAACCCCTGAAAAACAACCACACACCATAATCCCCCCTCCACTGTTCACATATGTCAGGTGCATGGCCGGTGCAGATTCAGTGCGGTTTTAAAAAGAGTCCTGTCCAGTCTCTGAGCAGTGGGTTCAGGTGCGGATTACAGGCTACTGACTTTTATGGGAACTGTTCCTAAACCGCGTATGTGTGAACAAGATAAAATCCTGAGCTAATCCTGTCCTGAACCTGATGTAAACCTGACATAAACCTGTGAACAGCTACTGTATCAATTAGCTGTTCCGCACCGCACATGTGTGAATCAGCTCTATATGTTTTCTGAATATGAAGCTCTTCAGAGTACTATTCACAGGATAATATTTGACTTCAAGCACACCTACATTACAAGGTTTAGAAAGCTAACAAGATCCATTAGACCTCAGAGGTGAAAGATTCATCATAGACTTGTCATATTTGGTGTCTAACAAATCTTAATTTCCTTCAGCTGACTAATATGCTGATTTTTAGTTTCTGATAGCTTGTCATATGGAAATATAGATATACCCAGGTTAGTATCTGCAAGGCATAATAAAATACTCAATCTTCAAGGTTTCCTTTCACCACCTGAACTAATAAATATTCCTTGAAGTCATTTTAAGAGATTGGACTTAAGCCCGACCATAGATGGTTAAAATCTCAGACGGTTCTGCAACAACAGCACAAGGACCTATTGGGGCCCATTCATGCATTGGTGCGCTGCAGTGTCATTAATTGGGAATGACTTCCAAATGCACTACAATGTCTGGTAATGTACTAACATGCATTCTGGTGCACTAGCAAAACCTGCTGTAGGAGCTATTTTTGGTCCACTGTTCCGGAAAAGGACAGTGCTGGTGTTAATGGGGCCTTCAGTTGTCCAGCAATGCTCATATGCAACAAAGAGCTTATCTGTCTGTTGCTTTTCTTTCACAGTCCAGTCTCAGGGTGGGGGAGGGACAAACCTATTAGTGTTACTTAAAGAGTAACACCACTTTTGTTGGAAAAAAAAAAACCCCATTCCCCTCAGGGGGATCTATGTACATTGCAAACTTTAACTAACTTTATTGCAGAGTCCTACCTTTGGTTATTCTGAAGAAGAGCAGTTTGTTTGTCTGTGTCCATGTGGAAAGTGAATCTAATGCGACTGGTTTCATAATTATCTATCAGCTGCTGCACTTGCAGGGCTCTAATGAGGAAAGTGGCAGGGTCTGCGTCCCTTCAGACGTGATTTCCTTTTGGCATTTTTGTTGCAGGGGATGCTTGACATCTGACTTGTATCTTAGTGCAAACGTCTGGGAAAATCAGTGAGCCAATCACACGAGCGGGGAAATAACATTTCTAGGGTGCGTTCTGTATACATTCTGTGTACAGAACACCCGCAGGTAGCCATATTGCATTGCATTTTACAGAAAACTACAATGGCTGCAGACTGAAAAGGAAAGGTAATGTTTTAATAACATTCAATTACAATATGCCGTTTGTCTTAATTGTATATGCTATATTATTTTTTTTTATTTGCTCATTTTTTTTCCCCACGAAAGTGAAATTACACGTTAAAGTGATTGTAAACTCCAATTAAAAAAAAAAAAGGTTTTTGTACTTACCTGCTCTGTGCAATGGAACCCTGAACCTCCTCTTCTCGGGTCCCCATCTGGTGCTCATGACACAGACAGCGCAGTTTAGCCCCGCTCCCTCTTCGCAAATCCTTTGAGACTGAGAAGCACAGATGGACACAGTGCTGGATTGAGTGGTTATTTGATATAGTGTACGTATTGGGGGTGAGGGGGAGATACTTTTACCTAAATATTTTTTACCTTAATGCAAGGAATACATTCATGTAAAAATGTTTAGACTTTAGAACCACTTTAACTGTGGTGGAGAAAAATCAGGTCCCCTGACCTGTCAGACTGAGCTGTGCTGTGTGGCAGAGCTGTGTAAACTTTAGGACTGGATGGACAGAAATACAAGTCTTTTGGCAGGTAAAACAGCTCTCATTTATGTACTTAAAGGATACGTTCACTTTTGGAATCTGTTTTTAGGGTGGAACATGTAACATGTTCCCATAGCCGCAACCGCGCCCGCCGTTTCCCCACCCTCTGAGAGATAGTATGGGCAGACATTTCCCCGTACTGTCAGATTTGAAAACTGCGTGGCTGTGCAGAGCTCCACCCACACGGCTGGGAAGAGTTCTTTGAATGAGTGCCTACAAGTCCGACAGCCTTAGTAGTTTTCAATGAACTACCACAGCGCCGTGGAGCACCGTGGTAGTTCATTCAAGCCTTCTGTGAGTATATCTCCTTGGCCGTACACCCCGTACGAGCAGCAGATATACTGACAGATCTGCAGGAGACCTGCATGGCATCAGCGATCTACTGATCACTGGTGCAATGCTTTCCAGACTCCTTTGGACAAAAATAATAAATGCACGATTTTTTACCTGGAAAAAAATGTGCATTTATTATTTTTTGTCCAAAAGGTGAACTTATCCTTTAAGAGCCATATCAGATTATTTTCTTTTTGTTTTTAGACATGTTCTATTTTTGTATACATTGCTGCATAGTTTGTACCTTAACGCAGAGCTAATGTTACCTTTCCTGCAACAGTCCCCATTTCTCACTGGCGTTGGCTGGGTGCCAGTGTTCAGCTGTCTTCATTGGCCATGCGGGATGACGTCACTCCTGTGCATGCACAAAAGTCAGTCATCCTGGCACATAGAGACTGTGCTGCTAATGTAAGCTGAGCTGCGAATTCACAAATTGGTTTACATGCCAGAGAAGACAGCAAGTTTGTGACAGCGGAACTTTAGTTTTGCTTTAACTAATGTTAGGCAGATGTCAGATTGGCGATTCCGCTACTAGTGCTCCTGCTGATGGCGATATATCTAAATCAGCCACAGCAGGATCAGTAACAGGCTGCCTGTTTTTTGCCAATGGATTCATTCCATCTGTAGCTGAAGAAGTGAGATGCCATTACAGTTCAGCAATGTTTGGGCCAGTGGCAGAGCGCATCTCGCTGCATCTGGCTACAGGAGAGATTGAATCCATAGACACAGACAGGCAGTTCCTTTACTGATCCTGCCATTGGCGATTTGCCTATATCGGCACAATCTGCAATCTGACATCAGCCAGAACACAAGGACATTTTAGTTTTATTTCTCTTATTTTTCAAGGTGCAAGCGCCATGGTTGTTGTTTTTATTCTTTGCTTCACACTTTAATTAGTCGCTGACCCAGAATAAAGGTGCAGGTTGCGTGATTTGACATCATTGGTCACCAGCATGTCCCTGAGTCTCGGGGCTCGTTCACACAACCCACTGCATTGTAAGGCAGCAGCTGGCGGTGTGGTGGAGCCGAGAACAGTGCAGTGATGATGCGCTGAGCTCGGCGCTTTGCAGTTTTTTTTTCCATTTACAGACATAGGCATAGCATAAAGTTCAACTGCTGGCTGCGCGGTGCAAGGCGCTAAATTGATTTGCACTGCACTATGCCGAACAAAGTACTGCAACGCAGTGCTGTGAACCGCACACATAGGAGGCAAGGCATCATGCGGTGGGATAGCTGCCAAACGCAATCCCACCACATGTGGTATGAACGTTGTCTAAAAAGCAACGACATTACCACATCATATATCAGAAGTCCTTTTTACAGCAGCATAGCAGTGGGCCACACTGTCCATGGTTGAAATATATTTTGAAATACTGTATATTGAATATGGCCAAAATTGTAGCATTTCAAATATATGGCAATATATTTGTGAAGAATATTTTTTAAAATATATTTCAAATATATTTTTCTTCCATATGGGCTGTGGTGGATTTTGGTAATATGCATTAGTGTATTTCAGTGCCATTAACTCATTAAGGCAATGTGTTATGATGCACCACAACTCAAAGTAACGCATCACCGTTGTGGTGCACTGCATTGTCAGAAAGGGTGTAAGTCTGAATTTTTTTTTTTGAACAATGCATGTTACATAGTTATTTGGCTGAAAAAAGACAAAAGTCCATCCAGTTCAACCATAGAAAAAAAAGTTATAAGCCTACACCCACAGTTGATCCAGAGGAAAGCAAAAAAAAACCCAGCGAAGCATGATCCAATTTGCTCCTGCTGGGAAAAAAATTCCTTCCTGATTTCCCGAGAGGCAATTGGATATTCCCTAGATCAACTTTACCTATAAATGTTAGTAACCAGTTATATTCTGTGTATCTAGGAAAGAATTCAGGACTTTTTTGAAGCAATCCACTGAGCTGGCCAGAACCAACTCTTGAGGGAGTCTATTCCACATTTTCACAGCTCTCACTGTGAAGAAACCTTTCTGTGTTTGGAGATTACATTTCTTTTCCTCCAGACGTAAAGAGTGCCCCCTTGTCCTCTGTGATGACCTCAGGGTGAATAGCTCCACACTGAGTTCACTATATGAACCACTGATGTATTTATGCATGTTGTCGGTTTTATTTCTCCATTTGTTTGCTTTGACAGTGTTTAGGCAACCTTATGACTTTTGGTTAATCATTTACTTTAATGTTTTTCAATGCAGCCGGATTAAAAGTAATGTGGATGGAAAATACTTGATTGATGGCGTCCCTTTCAGCTGCTGCAACCCCAATTCTCCCAGGCCGTGCATCCAGCACCAGATGACCAATAACTCCGCCCACTACAGCTACGACCACCAGACGGAGGAGCTCAACTTGTGGTCCCGGGGCTGCAGGGAGGCTCTTCTCACTTACTACACCAGCATGATGAGTTCTATGGGGGCCCTTGTGCTCCTCGTCTGGATCATGGAGGTAATAATAATAGCACATAAAAGTAGAATCTCCTTGTTTGCTGTCTATTTTTCTTTCCTCCTTCTTTGCAGCATATACCTTTAAATAAAGCTTTGACCTTAGTCTGAAATGATGTGAATTTGCTTTATATGCTGTTCATGTACTGGAATATGCAGTACATTAACATTTTTCTTTGGAAAAAGAAAGTCCAAACCCAACAGTTTGGTAAAGGGACAGTGAGACTGGTTGGAAGAAAACCTCTGGAAGCTTTGTAGAAGAGGTGGGTACTGTCATGCAGGAGAATGGATAGATCCTGACACCTGACAAAGGCATGCGCCTGGGTCTTCTTCTACTGAGTGCTTCAGGTCTCCTTTTAGATATAATGATGGTGAGATTATTTTGTCATCATGGTGTGACAACACAATTTTTAGACCAATTCATTTTTGTTCAATTAAAAAAGAATCGTTTTCTTCTTAGATTAGTGGCTATCATGAAACTCTACCAGCCCCTCATTATTTTAATCATTGTGCCCAGAGATACGTCTGGTATATTAGAGCCCTAGAACTGCCAGATCATTGTTCTCTATGAGTTTAGTATAATTAAAACTCCTTCCGCCACTTCTCTGCATTTCCTGTAGCCAGAGCTCCATTTAGGAGATGTGTTGACTTAAAGTCATCAGATCTTCAGACCTTGAAGACTGAGCCACCAGTGACCCAAATGCGTTAGACTGGACAGCCCAGTACTGTACATGTGTGATTGTGTTTTTTAACTACCTTTTATTAGGAAGGTTCTTCTTTATTAGTTATATAAAGCAGTGCAGACACACCACTGTAACAAATCAATGCAAAATGTGGACATCATGAAGTCGTATCAGAAATCCACAATGGGAGTTTGTCACTAGTATTTTCCAAGAAACACTAAATCAACTTGAATCCTGGACTGACTTCTATTATATCTTGGGGACTCCAGTGTGAAGCTGCCCTCTTGGCCGACGTCTAATACAAGGCAATGCCATACCTGCTATTAGAGTTTTATTTACTTTATTATAGAGTATAGGGTAGAAAAGGTAAAGATTCAAGGGACAGAGAACTAAAAATCAGAGCATTTTTCCAAAAAAGATAACTGAATTAACCTACTTCACAGGCATCTTCATAAAACTGTATTTTTAGATCACGGACTATAAAATTCTACTTTTGCTCTTCCTACAAATGCCCTACCTACCATTGGCTGGTTACTGGTGGTCAATATATACAGGTCAAAGTGTATCTCCCCTTCCTGATTTCCAATTCCATCCAGACTTCAAAGCGAAGTTAAAGTCTGGTGTCTGAAAGAAGCTTCCTACTACTGGCTTTTTTTTTTTACATTAGTATTTTTGCATACGGCAGCAAGGAGCCTGCAGTAGGTGTTCCAGCATCATAAGCAGGCGTATTTCAGGATCATTAGTTGACAGACGAAAAGGTAATGGTGTGGTACAGAAATTTCTACATAAAAAAATAAAAAATTACACAGGTAGTCTGTGCTCCCTGGGTGCATCTCAAGGCATTCTTTTATCTGGGGGTGTCTTTGGAGTGTTGTTTACATGTGTTTGAAATGTGCGTTAATCTCCGGTCAGCAGATTCCCATTTACTTGAATAGTGCATTGTGAATGACACTGAGGAATGGCTGAAAGCTGCATCTTCAGAAGACTGGCCATCCACCCAGTAAAACTTTGAAAATGTATGAACAGAAGACCAGGTGGCAACCTTACAAAACTGGGTGACAGAGGTTTGGTGCCCGAAGGCCCAGGATACTGCAACAGATCTGGCAGAGTAGGCACATAAGAGCACAGGAGGAGGTACTTGTTTTTGAACAATCTTGTAATCAAATTGCTTAGGGTGCCCCTTGCAAGGTCCTGTAGAAAAAACAAGCAGGGAATCTGTTTCTCTTTTAGTTTGTCTTTTAGGTACACTCTAATGGCTCCAGAGAGACCTCCTTTGGATTCTTAGGAGAAGGGTGGCAGAACAATGTCCTTATTAAGCTGGAATGCTGAAACTACCTTTGGAAGAAAAAGATGGAAATGGGTATAATAAAACCTTGTTGTGAAGTATGAGAAAAGCTCTTTACAGGAAAGGGCTGCCAATTCAGAAACACATCTGCAAGACATTATAGCGACCAAAAAGGTTACTTTGCTGGTAACAATCTGTAAGGAGATCTAACTGTTGGGTTTAAAGGGTGGTTTCTGCATGGCAGAGAGAACCAAATTAGGGTCCCTGGGAAGACATGGGTGCTGGGAAGGGAGCCTAATATAAAAAACAGCTTAAATAAAGGTATTTACAAAAGAATATAAAACCAAAGGTTTTTGAAAAAAGAGGAACAAGGCCAAAAACCTATCCTTTGAGGATGCTTATAGCTAGACTCTGGTCAGGACCTGTTTGTAGGATGGTCAGAATGTAAGGGACAAAGACTCTGGGACTGAAATGCCTAATCTCCACCAGGCAATGTAAAATTTCCCAAGAACAGTGATAAATCTTCCTATAATTAGGTTTTCTTTTCTTTAACAAGATAGGAATCACAGGCTCAGAAACTTCTCTATCCTTTAAAGGATAAGCTCACCTTTTAAAAAAAATAAAATAAATGCACATCTTTTTGAAGTTAAAAACATGTGCATTAATAGTTTTTTCTATTAAGAGCCTGTAAAGCATTGCACCCACAATCAGCTGATCGTGGATGCCATCTCAAGCTCCTGCAGACTTGTCAGTGTAGCTGTCTGCCTGTACCCTGCATGGGCAGGCAATTACTGAATGACAGGAAGGATCAATGAACTACCTAGAGCGCTCACCAGCACTCACTCACCCATTCTGCGAGTGAACTCTGAGGACTGTCCAATGATCCAGGATGAGGACTTCTTTGATACCGTATGGACATCTATGTATAACATCATAAGGGAGAGGAGAAGGAGGACAAGATCTAAATCCTTGACCAAAGCATTGTATAATGTGAGATCAAAAAGTTCCAGGTTAGAGCACAATTTGGGTGTTGGTGGAGGAACACTGTTTATGCCTTATGAAGATAAAGTGGTGAAAGAGTAAAGCTACATCAATATATATGGAACTTTATATATTCACTACTGTGCACATGATACTTTTGTAAATGTGTATATATTTATGAATAACTTATACATTTTTAGGAAGGCGCTGCACTAATTTGTTGAATTTCCACATATGACATGTATTCCCCCATCTCAGAGAGACAATTACTGACCTAACAGATTCCATACAAAACTTTGGAATGTGAAGGAATTTGTTAAGGGTTTTTAAGTCCAGAATAGGACAAATATCTCTGTTGATTTTTGGCACTCAGGCTTGAGTAGAATCCCTTGAACCTGGCCTGTGATGGTACTGGTATAACTCTCTGTGACATGAAATACTTTAAGTCCTTTTGCAAATCTGACTGTCCTTGGGCAGTTTTTGATTGATTTGAAAAAAGAAACGATGAGGTGGTATAGTTTTGAACTCAATGTTGTACCCCTTAGAAACCACCAATTTAACCCACAGGTCTGGGACATCTGTGGCACTGAGAAGAGCAAACTTTAACACATATTCCCCCACTATTATTAGTGAGAGGGCTTGGTGGCCTCTGTTAGCCAAGCCTTGAGCCGAAAGGAAGGGCTAAACTTAGGTTTTGAAGTTGAAGCCTGGGTAGAATGTGGAGGTGCTCTGCATTTAAAGAACCTGAGAGCTGTCAAGTGCCTCACCAAACAGATGTCTTCCTTGAAAGGGCATATATGCGAGGTGTCTTTTTGCAGGTGCCTATTTCTGTCCTTCCTTTAGCCAGATAATTCTGCCCATATGGTGATTAGAGCTATTCTGAATATTTGTCTCATAATGTGCTCCAAGGAATCTACACAAAAAAAGAGCAGAATGCAGTTGTTGTAATTGCTCTGCAGCTGCACAATGCTGAAAAAAAGAATAATTTCAGTTATTCATTGTCCTAACTCTGTTAGCTGCAGTTTGACAAACAGAAATAGCAGCAAGAGCTGGTTGCAGAGCTGGGCCTGCCAGGTTAATGAGTAATGTCTCAAATGTTCTGTCAGCAGAATCTTTAAAAGAAGGATCATCAAAACGTACAATGAATGTCTGCCTGCTGTTTAGAGTTGGCTCCCTTTCACCTCTCTACACCATAACCACAAGTGAGGGTTTTCCCCTGTGTGATACTCATGAAGCAGAGTGTGGGAGATAGGCTAAGTGTGTTCAGAAGGAGTATGCAAAGACTCAGGTGTAGACCATCCTGAAACAAATCCACTTGGTGAATGCACAGGAAGAATTGCCTGAGTAGCTTATAAGGGCTCTAGGTGGCAGGGACATTAAAGTTTTGGACCTGCTGTGTGATGTAGCACCTAGTCATCCACCTAAGACTGAAGCTCCGAGTAGTTGAACTTTAGCACCAAATTTAAAATGTTTGCACTGAGAAGTGAATACATTCCAAATATAGCCCCATTTATACAGTAATAGTCAAATACACAAGATTACCCTGTCTTACCTGTTCATAAAGCTGGACTGTATACAAAGTCTAGGCTTTGCCCGTCACAGTGGGCATACCCTCAAAGGGGTCTTCAGAGACCACGATCCTTAACCTGTATAGCACACATGTGCCAAGGTGAGCACCCAAAACAAGATCCCATGTCCAAAGCAACATTACAAGCAGTCTTTACAGAATGAGGTCCAGGTGCGGCTCCCAAGGTTTATATAAGGGCACTGATCCATATATATTGCATCTTTGTGTACATTAGAAGACAGTGAGGTTGATTGGAGAATTCTTAAAAAATAAAGCAAAATAATAAACTAATGAAAATGATTTCTCCTGGAAGAAGAGATCCATTACTGACTGAAACTAGCAAAAAAAAAAAACTGAGGACTCACGGAGTAGGTAGGGCTATACGGGAAGTTCCTCGGGGGTGGAGGGTTGTGCATGTCGCCTAAAGCTTGCCAGTGTCCAGTCACCTGAAGGTACGAACCTTTAACCCATGGGGTATGAATAAGCATCCTGTACAATTAAGATTTTTTTTTTTTTTTAGGCAAACTTCAGCTTTACGAAGTTAAAAACACTTTAACACATCAGTGTGACTGAACTTGTTTTTATAATGTGTGTAAAATTTCACTTGGGCACATTTGGATAGTAGTTCTGCAGCTGTAGTGCCAGGGCTTGTTCAGAATATTTAAAAAAAAATGAACTAGTCAGGAATATGCAAAAGCAGTTTGCCAAGTTTTTCTGTTTTTAATAAAGTTGTATTACATTCCACAGATGGCCGTCATGATTGGGCTGAGGTATCTGCATACATGTCTAGAGAGCATAGAAAACCCCGAAGACCCCGAATGTGAGAGCGAAGGTTGGGTGCTGGAGAAGAGCCTGAAAGAGACTTTTACATCATTCTGGAAATCCCTGAAAAGTCTCGGTAAGCTGAACCAGGTGGAGAACACAGAAGGTGATGGAGGAGGAGACAAGGGTGCATCAGTCGCCACAGTAAGCTGAACTCCAGGACCCAAAGAGACTGTGAAGAAGACATCTTTACCAATGTGAATTTTAATGCTGCGCAAAAAAAAAAAAAAAAAAAGATGTGGGCCTCTGCTAAAATGTACAGACATCCTCCTTCATTGCGCAGATCTGTATGCTGCACTCACTATCAATTCTTATTCTAAGCAGCATAAAACCAAACTAAAGAAGGTCTCTGCCAAAAAAAATAGATTAAAAATTGCCCAGCCTCATAACATTTTGTAAGAATTCAATGAAGGGGACTGGACTAGTAATTATTTAGCATTTCTCCCTTTAAACTGCTACCGTAAATATGCCGAAAAGGAATTCTTTTATAATCAGACTGAGACAGACGACTGTTTTTCTGTATAGTGTTGCACATACATATTCAGGTCTGTTAAGTGCAAAGAAACCACTGGCTCCATAACGGCCTGGGATGTTGTACAACATTATATCAGATAAAGGCTTGTTTGTTAGAACACAGAGCTATAGCTGGTTATTCTAGAAATGGGAAAATTATTTTGAGTCACTAGTTTCCAAAAAAAATAGAAAAAAAAATTGTTTAAGCTACACCTATAGGCCGATTTGTGCTTACATCCTATTAGAATTTTATTGCTGCCTGTAATTGGGTAACAAAATCTAAAAGTTGAAATGTTCAAGCACAGAGGCCTATGGGTAATGCAGCTGAATGGCTTTCTCCAGCTGCCATGTTTTCATCTGGTAAGGTCCCATACGGGCACTGAGACCTGTAATCCATCAACGGGCCATAGGTTTATGCAGCTTGAGCTGCCAGGTGCTGTGTGCAGACAGCCCATTAAAGTCTATTGGTATACCAATTTGACAGGCCTGCGGGTATAGGTGAGCAGTCCTGGATCCACACTGACTGTGCATGGGGTTGCTCACCAGCATGACTGTGAAACTGGGACAAGTGGCTGTGTCCATGCACCCACTACATCCAGTGGTGTATTTAGGTTTCGCGCTGCCCTAGGCAGCACAGAAATTGCCCCCCCCCACGGAGAGACCCTGACACTGACAAACACCCCCTCTCCCATGAAAAGAGCCTGACATTGACCAACAGCACCACACCCGAGAGAACCTTCCACTACCACCATCCCCCATACACACTGGCAACCCCCCACCCCACCCAACAAGACAGAAGACACTCACCTTCACAGCTCTGGACATCCCCGGGAACAAGAGTCAGGCTCTTCATACACCAAGCAGCCCCTTGCAGATCCCACCTGGTCCCCATGTTGCGTGTGTCCTTTCTTCAATCCCTTCTTTTGGGGGGCTGCGCTGCCCCCCTGAAAAAATGCCACCCTAGGCAAATGCCTTGTGGTAAATACGCCCTTGACTACATCTCCATAGACTCGAATGGGCTGTTTGCTCACAGCACCTGGACTATGGGCCTCAGCGCCTGTGTGAATGAGACGTAATTGATAAATAAATACAGTTTGTATAGTTACTTTATTCTGGCTGTTGCATCACAAGTTTGTCTTTCTGTGTCAAACAACATTTAATACATAGACAGGTTTGTGCATACCAACCCCTTTATGTGGATGAAACATTTACCAGAAACCACTGTCTGCATTTTGGAGTAAATGTAAATATGACTTTACTAAAGAATCCTGTTTGTTCACCTGATTTTACACTGCAAGCTTTATGGATGATAGTGACACAAATAAAACATGTAACAGTGATACGTAGATTGGATGCAACTCAGTGTAACCTGTGCTGTATTTGTGCTTGTCCAACCCCTATAGTCACAAACCAAATTGAAGGCAGCTGCTCAGTCGGATCTGAGATATTATGGGTGATGAAAAGTGGGGAAAAAAAAATCATTCAGCAAGTGCACAATGTAATACAAAAATACCCAGCACTGAGCTATGCAAGATGAAAAGAAGGACCTTTGTGTGTTCCACCGTTATTGTTGACTGCTCTCCAGCTACATAAAGCTTTTTGTTCTGATAGTTCTTGGTCCGTGAACTCTCACAGACCACATATTAACTGGTGGGAGAAGTTTTACCTCTAGAACGTTTCATGCTGTAGGGATGGAAAAGATGGGGCAGGGCAGCCAAGACCAACCTCCATCCTCCAACGGCCGAGGTGGAGCACATCACGATTTTCACTTTGGCCAATAAGAGGAAGCCTTGAATTTGTTGATACAAATAAAAGGCTTCTCTTGAATGGTGGAAAAGCATTTAGTTCTCTTCAGTTCCTGCAGCCTGACTCTCTTCAATTGCGGAAACAGATGGGAAATCGAATGTACTGCTGCCAGAACTCAGCACCACTGTACCTAGCTACTACTACTACATTCCATTACAGCACACCCAGCAGCTGCATCGTTCTGTAATAGAAATACTTTGGCCCAAACACACTATTTAAGATGAATTGAAACCTGGACCATCAGCACAGAATTAAAATATTGTCTTGTCCAAGAAGTCCCAGTTCCAACTGCAGCATCAGAGTAGATTCAGGGGATGTTGGTCAGCCTTTTGGAAGAACCTGAACACGGTTTGTAAGGAGAGCTGGAAAGGAGGTTATGCATGCAAACGTGGACTGATGCTGGCATGGTCAAAATGAAAGCTGCCATTGCTGTACCTGGTTTTTACATATAGGTATGTAGGCCTGTGGGTTGTCATCAGATTTTGGCTTCCCAGGTGCCAAGGAACTATAAAAATCTGAACTCCCAAACTGCATGTTTCCACTAGTCAGTGGAATCACGACGAGTGACTACACTGGAGCCTACTTCTTTAAAAACCAGGTCAGCAATGGCAGCTTCCATTTTAGTATCCACACGCATCTTGATTCCACTGACTAGTGGAAACTTAAAGTAAACATGCAGTTTGGGAGTTCAGATTTGAACAGTTCCTTGGCACAAGGGAAGCCAAAAACTGGTGACAGCCCCCAGGCCTACATATGTAAAAACCAAGTCAGCAATGGTAGCGCCCATATTTCCATCCTCATGGTTTTCCTTAAAGAAAAAGTTCACCTTTTGTAACATGTTACGCCCATATTTAGGGTGTAACATTACAGATGCATTGGCCTCCACTCCACTCCCTCCCGTTTTGGTCTTCTCCTCCCGCTGGCTGTCACAATCTGAAAAAAGTCTGTGAATGGAAAAAATGACAAGTTATGACAGCCTTTGCGGCTGATGGCTTGTAGTTCTCAATGAACTACCAGAGCGCTGTTGAGCTGTCTAGGTTTCATTGAGCTGCCTATCAGTGTGTAACTGCCTGCCCATATTGGAGGTACAGGCAGACAGATACACAGACAGTCTGCAGGACATGGAATTACAACCATGATTTGCTGATCAGCTGGGTGCAATGCTTTTACAGGCTCCTAACAAATAACATAATACATACATATTTTTTACCTGCAAAAAATGTGCATTGATTATTTTTTGTAAAGATGAACTTTAAACACTGGACACAACAGGACTTTGTGAAGCTGAAGCCTCAGCAGCTGTTATCAGTGCTAGTCTGCTGTACAGGGGCTCCTATATTTTGGCCAATGAGCATGCAGAAAATGTAAAGTGTTACTAAACCCCGGACCCTGCATTCCCTATATCTGGTCTCCCACAGTGCACACAACATGGAAATGCAATTATTTTAGTAAATATAAACTGCTTATGTGATTTTTATCAGTGTCTAGCAGAGCACTGGTTAAAGCTTGTAGGAGGAGTTTTCATTCTCCCTTGACTGTCCTATGAGGCTGCGTAACCCCTGACCATGACAGCGCTGATTGGCCCTGTGCTGATCACGTGCATTCTCCCCCCAAAAAAACTCTCTAGCAATACACACCAAACTGAGCATGTGCAGCTTATCTCCAAGGCTCTCTTCTATCAGAAGATGAATTGGGGACAGTAGAAGTGGAGGATCAGAGAAAACAGGATCAAACATCCTTTTTACCCAATGTGTAATGTAGAAAGATTAACCACTTCAAAACAGCCAATTCTAACATTTCTCACATATACAGTGGATATAAAAAGTCTACACTCCCCTGGTAAAATGTTAGGTTTCTGTGATGTAAACAAATGAGACAAAGCTGAATCATTTCAGAACTTTTTCCACCTTTAATGTGACCTATAAACAAAATAATGTGGTTGCAAAAGTGTGCACACCCTCTTATAACTAGGGATGTAGCTGTGTTCAGAATTAAGCAATCACATTTAAAATCATGTTAAATAGGAGTCAGTACACACCTGCCATCATTTAAAGTGCCTCTGATTAACCCCAAATAAAGTTCAGCTGTTCTAGTAGGTCTTTCCTGACATTTTCTTAGTCACATCCTACAGAAAAAGCCATGATCCACAGAGAGCTTCCAAAGCATCAGAGGGATTTCATTGTTAAAAAGGTATCAGTCAGGAGAAGAGTACAAAAGGATTTCCAAGGCATTAGATATACCATGGAACACAGTGAAGACAGTCCTCATCGAGTGGAGAAAATATGGCGCAACAGCGAAATTACCAAGAACTAAAAGTCCCTCCAAAATTGAAGAAAAAACAACAAGAAAACTGTTCAGGGAGGCTGCCAGGAGGCCTACAGCAACATTAAAGGATCTGCAGGAATATCTGGCAAGTACTGGCTGTGTGGTACATGTGACAACAATCTCCTGTATTCTCCATATGTCTGGGCTATGGGGTAGAGTGGCAAGATAGAAGCCTTTTCTTACAAAGAAAAACATCCAAGCCCGGCTACATTTTGCAAATACACATCTGAAGTCTGCATAAAGCATGTGGGAATATGTGTTGTGGTCTGATGAAACCAAGGTTGAACTTTATGCCCATAATTTCAAAAGATACCGTATTTTTTGCTCCATAAGACGTGCCTAGGTTTTAGAGGAGGAAAACAAGAAAAAAAAATATTCTGAACCAATGGACTGCAGACATAGCACAGGAGATGACCAGAGACTGCAGACATAGTACAGGAGATGACCAGAGACTGCAGACATAGTACAGGAGATGACCAGAGACTGCGGACATAGTACAGGAGATGACCAGAGACTGCGGACACAGTACAGGGGATGACCCGAGACTGCGGACACAGTACAGGAAATGACCAGAGACTGCGGACACAGTACAGGAAATGACCAGAGACTGCAGACATAGTACAGGAGATGACCAGAGACTGCGGACATAGTACAGGAGATGACCAGAGACTGCAGACATAGTACAGGAGATGACCAGAGACTGCAGACATAGTACAGGAGATGACCAGAGACTGCGGACATAGTACAGGAGATGACCAGAGACTGCGGACACAGTACAGGAAATGACCCGAGACTGCGGACACAGTACAGGAAATGACCAGAGACTGCGGACACAGTACAGGAAATGACCAGAGACTGCAGACATAGTACAGGAGATGACCAGAGACTGCAGACATAGTACAGGAGATGACCAGAGACTGCAGACATAGTACAGGAGATGACCAGAGACTGCAGACATAGTACAGGAGATGACCAGAGACTGCAGACATAGTACAGGAGATGACCAGAGACTGAGAGACTGAAGACATAGCACAGGAGATGATCAGAGACTGCGGATATAGTACAGGAGATGATCAGAGACTGCGGATATAGTACAGGAGATGACCAGAGACTGCGGACATAGCACAGGAGATGACCAGAGACTGCGGACATAGCACAGGAGATGACCAGAGACTGCGGACATAGCACAGGAGATGACCAGAGACTGCGGACATAGCACAGGAGATGACCAGAGACTGCGGACATAGCACAGGAGATGACCAGAGACTGCGGACATAGCACAGGAGATGACCAGAGACTGCGGACATAGCACAGGAGATGACCAGAGACTGCGGACATAGCACAGGAGATGACCAGAGACTGCGGACATAGCACAGGAGATGACCGGAGACTGCGGACATAGCACAGGAGATGACCGGAGACTGCGGACATAGCACAGGAGATGACCGGAGACTGCGGACATAGCACAGGAGATGACCGGAGACTGCGGACATAGCACAGGAGATGACCGGAGACTGCGGACATAGCACAGGAGATGACCGGAGACTGCGGACATAGCACAGGAGATGACCGGAGACTGCGGACATAGCACAGGAGATGACCGGAGACTGCGGACATAGCACAGGAGATGACCGGAGACTGCGGACATAGCACAGGAGATGACCGGAGACTGCGGACATAGTACAGGAGATGACCGGAGACTGCGGACATAGTACAGGAGATGACCGGAGACTGCGGACAAAGTACAGGAGATGACCGGAGACTGCAGACATAGTACAGGAGATGACCGGAGACTGCGGACATAGTACAGGAGATGACCGGAGACTGCGGACATAGTACAGGAGATGACCGGAGACAGCGGACAAAGTACAGGAGATGACCGGAGACTGTGGACATAGTACAGGAGATAACCAAACACTGCGTACCTTTGGGGAGCAGAGGAGGGAGGGAGTGGGTACCCGAATTTGACAGGTACCCGCTCCCACTTCCGCGGAGTTGTCCTCCCTCCCCGTCTTCTGGGACACGTGACAGGTCCCAGAACACTGCCGGACCATTCACAAAGTGCAGCACAGTGAGCACCCAGCTGTGAAGCCGCAAGTTGTCACAGCTGGGTGCCCACACTAAAGATGCCGGTGCCGGGAAGAAAAGACGATGAGGACACTACTGGACCGAGGAACAGGTAGGGCCGAGGAGCACAGAAGAGCCGAGTGGCCGGCCCGGTATTCTAACACGGTAGCGGTGGGAATTCCGGGCCGGCCGCTCCATAAGATGCACAGACATTTTCCCCCATTTTTCTGGGGGGGAAAAAGTGCATCTTATGAAGCGAAAAATACGGTATGGTTGGCGCAAAAACAACACTGCACATCACCAAAAGAACACCATACCGACAGTGAAGCATGGTGGTGGCATCATTGTGCTTTGGGGCTGTTTTTCTTCAGCTGGAACTGGGGTCTTAGTCAAGGTAGAGGGAATTATGAACAGTTCCAAATACCAGACAATATTGGCACAGAACCTACAAAACCTAGAAAGCTGAACATGATCAGTAACTTCATCTTTCAGCATGACAACGACCCAAGCATCAAAATCAAGGAATGGCTTCACCAGAAGATGGTTAAAGTTTTGGAATAGAACAGACCTGAATCCGATCGAAAATCTGTGGGCTGATCTGAAGAGGGCTGTGCACAGGAGATGCCCTCTCAATCTAACATATTTGGAGTGTTTTTATAAGGAAGAGTGGGCAAATATTGCCAAGTCAAGATGTGCCATGCTGATAGACTCATCCCCAAAAAGACCGAGTGCTGGAATCAAATCAAAGGTGCTTCAACAAAGTATTAGTATAAGGGTGTGCACACTTATGCAACCGGATTGTTTTAGTGTTTTATTTTTACTTCCACTGTAAGTAAAAAATAATTTCTGTTGCTAGAAAATTACTTAGAGCCTCCAAATATTATATATTTTCTGAAAGCAAAGGTAGTTGTGATTTTTTTTATGTCTCAATATTTGTACAGCGGCTTATCGAACACAAAATTTCCAGAAAAAATACACAGTAATGCATTTTAGTACACGTACACACACACGTACACACACTAATGTTTTGTACAATATGAAAGATATTACGCCAAATATATATACTGGGGGGGGGGGGGGGGGCACAGTTTGCCATCTTTGCCCTGGGTGCTGGATGACCTTGTCCCGGCCCTGATTGGAGGGAAGTCTGTTCAGAGGGGGAAGATGAGCTTTAACTGTGCGAGAATCAAATGTGCCCAGAATATTCATGTTGCATCGAAGTTTCTTAAAAGAAACTTGTATTGAGACTAAGGCCGATCATACATGGCGATTTTCAAAAGATTTGTCGTTCGAAAATTGGACCTAAGAATAATCAGCCGATTTTCGCTCTGTTAGTCAGACAATGGCACCGGATGATTTTCGTGGTTCCTCCCCATTTCGTTTATCGGGAATGCTGGAAAATTTGTGAAAAACGACTGATTTTCGAAACCATTGGTGGCACCATCGGATTACAGAACGAACAATGTTTTCGATTTTCAATAAAAAAAATCATTCAGGATTCGACCCATGTATGGCCTGCTTAATATGCAGACTAAGGGCTCGTTCACACTTGGCTGTTTTGCCAACGCTTGCCAAACGCCCCTATAGCGTTTGGCAAGCGTTGGTCCGGCGTTTGCTGCGCGGTTTAGCGGCAGTTGCTAGGCGTTTGCCGAGCGTTAATAACGCCCCACAAACGCCTATAATGCAGTTTGAGTGGTGTTACCGCTCCGCAAACTCCCCGCAACCGCAACGCATCGCAAACGCCGGCCGGGCGTTTGCGGAGCGGCACCATAGACGAGAATAGGAGGCTTCAACGCCTCCTGACTCGTCCAGAGGCGTCCGTTTTGCCGCGCGACGCAAACACTCCCGTTAGAACAGCACCATGTGCTGTAATGTGCAGATTTGGCAGAGGCGTTTGGGAAGCGGTAAAAAACGCTTCCCAAACGCCTCTCTGCCGCCTGCACACAAGGCTAGTGTGAACGTAGCCTAAAACTGGCTGATGACCAAAAACAACAGGCTTCATTACAGGAACAATGATCTAAAACAAAGCATGCAAATTGCAAAAGTCAGCGCATGACAGTCAAGTAACTAGTATTTTCAGAGTAGGAGGTCGGCAACAGCAGCCACTAATGATGCTCATAAAGGGCAATTCTGTATTTATTCTTACATCATTAAATGTATTTTTTATTTAATAGAAGAAGTTTAAGTACCTGCATTTGACTTGGTGTCAACCTCTGAAAACTCCCTGCAAATCAGAATGGGAAAAGCTGCACAATGAGCCAATCAGTTGTGCTGCAACACTCATGTGTCAAGGAACATGTTGCAAGGAGGAGAGAGCAAAGTGTTAGACCTGGTTTGCACCAATGTCTTTTTTAGTGCTTTTTTGCAGAAATGCACTACAGTCCATTTAACATGGTTTCCTATGGGACATGTTCACATCTATGATTTTTTGAGCAGCTGCACTGTTTGAAAGGGTCAGGGACTTTTTTTAAATGCAAAAAGCAACATTTCTGCTACAATAGAGATGCTGCTGAAACACATGAAGTGCAATTTGCTTTTTTTTTTTTTTTCCAGCAACAAAAACATTTAACATAAACATAACAATAAAAACAAAAACAAAAAAAAAAAACCACCAAATGTGGCAAAAATACAGCAAAAACATGTGTTAAAAACGCAAAGTAAAATGCAAAAATCATTGCAAAAATGTATCATAAGCAAACGGTTTTGGTGTGAACCAGACCCCAGAGAGATGAGCTCATCAATCTGCAGCTTCGCTTTTCACTATCAAATCACAGGTTCGGGGAGGGACACAACCTGCAAGTGTTACTGAACTGCAGCAGAGAAAATTCAGGTGTCCTGCCTCACCAGACATTGCTGTGCTGTATGGCAAAGCTGTGTAAATCTCAGGACTGAATGGACGGACATACTAGTTCCTTTGTCAGGAAACACAGTTCCTATATATGTATTACATCCGTGTATTTACCTGCTTGTCTGGAGTTCCGCTTTATTTACATTCTGCAATCATAGGCTGGCCATACACAGACTGACATCTTCAGGGACTGGCTGAACTTTAATCAATATGTGGCCCTCCATGTTCAACAAAATTAGATTTTTTGATTGACATCTGTTGAGTCAGATAATTTTTAATGATCAGCAGCTGCATCGGCTTATCAGTGTATTCTGACAGCGCCTGGTCCCACGTCAGAATACAATGTCATGACCAGAGGATCAAAACAACCCAAACTGTCTATGGCCAACCTAATGCATGAAAGATTTGTATGTGTCCACCTTTCTTCATTTAATTTATTATAAGTTCTCTTCAGCAAGATCTTCTGACTTTGTCAACTAACAACAAAGCTCCACAAACTTTTCACTTTTCTGCCAAGTACAGGGCTCTGTTATTTGACACGGTTATTCGCTCAGAAGCTGGAAGACAGTCTGTGTAGGTCAGGCAGTATAAAAAACAAGGCAAGTGAAGGCCGAAATAGGGGCAGTCCTGTAAATTTATAATATTAACTCTGATGCTAAAACAAACAAAAAATGCAAAATGTGCCCAGCCTGAAAAAAAAAAAAGAACAAAAGAAAAAGGGGAATACGTATTTGTCCCACTGCCTGTGCTGCTAACATTCACTCTTTGAAGAGCTAAAGCATAAGCCAACAGCAGAGGAACCATCTATGGGCAGGCTGGTTGTACTGAAGTCGATCCATCAGTCAACTTCAGGACAACCAGCCTTTCGTGTTTGTTTTCCACCCAATCACTGCTGGTGGCTGTAGCCACCAACAGTGATCATTGCCACTGGGAAAGGATCCCCCCACACTACCCACTGTTATTATTATTATTATACAGTATTTATAAAGCGCCAATAGTTCGCTCAGCGCTGTACATTACAAAGGGGGACAGAACATGTGACAGAACAATACCAATACAATGCAAAACATGAGGGGATCGAGGGCCCTGCTCTTTCGAGCTTACAATCTAGGAGGGAGGGGGTGGTGGCACAGGAGGAGATAGCTGTGGGGGATGGAGTGGTAGGAAGAGTGGAGGAGGTCGGCAAGTTAGCAGGGAGTGGGGTAGGCTTCCTGAAGAGATGGGTTTTCAGGGTGCGCCTAAAGGAGAGGAGAGTAGGTGATAATCTGATGGGTTGGGGCAGGGAGTTCCAGAGGAAGGGTGACACCCTGGAGAAGTCCTGGAGGCGGGCATGGGAGGAGACCAGGGAACTAGAGAGAAGGAGGTCTTGTGAGGAGCGGAGTGTGCGTGCTGGGCGGTACTTGGATATTAGGTCAGTGATGTAGTTCGGGGCAGTATGGTGGGCAGCTTTGTACGTCAACGTTAGAATTTTGAATTTGATCCGTTGCGCAATCGGAAGCCAGTGGAGGGATTGGCAGAGGGGGGTGGCAGAGACAGAGCGGTTGGAAAGGTGAATGAGTCTGGCAGCCGTATTCAGGATCGACTGAAGCGGGGATAGCCAGCGGCGAGGCAGGCCAGTGAGGAGGGAGTTAGAACACAATAACGATACTGGAGGGATTCCCACATCAACACAGTATTGAGGGAAAGAAAATGTATGGCCTACCTTACTGAAGAAGATTTTTGTATCTGACAGTCAGATGCCAGGTTCCCCTCCGCACTCTATGGATCAATCCACCAATCTCTACATCATTACAGAACACAGCTGTGATGTAGAGATAGCGGGACAAACCACATCACTCAGCGGGTGATCAGATGTCCAACACTCAAGATGGCGATTCTTCAGCAAGCATGGAGGTGGGGAGTGGCAGGACAGGCAATAAAAGGAGCCTTAAAGCGCATTTCCACTTTTGCAGCCAAACTTGGGTAACATCTATTTTTATTTGTAACATGTTCCCATTCACATAGAAAAATTAAATTAAAATGTCTGCTTACCACATTTTAGATGTTCTTTTCTGAAAACTCCAGTACTGAAAACTTCTACCTAGATCTTCTTTATGACGGGGCTGAGGAGCTGTGTTTGCCATAATGAACCCGGTCTGTGCTTTGCTGGCAGATCTCATTATTAGCTGTAAGGCATAAAGAATGGCGCAGACAGATTTTTGCAAGTGTCTCTCATGCATTCTAAAAGCGGTGCAACATGCGCCACATTGAGGTACTTGTCTACAACTTGTGCCTGAATTCGGCATATACTGGGCCACTTTTAGAATGCACACAAGACACTTTTGCAAAATCTGTCTGCACAAGTTGCTCTCTCTGTACGCCAAAAG